ATAAAAGAAAATATGACTCACTTTGGTAGGTTTGCCTTGAGAATAAAAATAGTCTAAAAATTATAGTTTTATAGTTAAAAGTGAATAGATCTGGGTTTGTATTATTACTTTTATAACTTCAAAAAAGTAGTTAGTTAATATAACAAAAATGCTTAGAAAACATTATTACTTTTATTAAATTCTAAATATCTAAATATAAATAAATAAATTTACTAATAAATCTAATAAAGAAGACATAACACCTAATACTAAGCAATAGCTAAACAAACTAATTATTCTTAATACTTTACTAGTTATTTTAGAATACTTAAAAACAATAAATATAAACATAATACAATTAGTAATTCTAATAATAGAACAAATAAAAATTAATAAAACTTTTAAATTTTTTTATAAAAATTTTTATATAATTAATTTATTCAAAAGCTTCTCAATAACTTTTATATATATTTGCTAAAAACTATATTAAAATAAATATATTGAATTATAAATAAAATAACTTAGTTTAACTAACAATGAATTTCTTATTAGCATACTTTACAAAATAATATTAATTAGTTGCTAACTTTAAAATATATATTTTATAAAGTAAAACTTTTGATCTTAATAACTGATTTATTCAAAACTCTTTCTGATGATCATCTGGACCATATTTTCCAAAATGCCAAACTACAGAAAAATGATATAGTTAATATATTAAACTTTATGAAAACTTTTCTGAAGCACTGAGCATGCATAGTAGACATTAAAATAGAGTTAAAAAAGAAGCTATCACTTTGTGATGATAGTTTAAAGGAGCTTTGGAACTATAGAAGAAGTGGTTGGTGAAAGCCGAAAGTCTCTCATAAAGTAAACAACAGTGTTGGATATATTAGTTCTATACAACTGTAAAACTTACAAGGAACTTCCAGAAGGGTTAAGCACTTACAAAAGCTATAGTTTGGTTCACCTCATGCCTTCTCTTTTTTTTTAAGGAAAATTTTATAAAAAGTGGGCAATTCAGTTTACCACCTTCAAAAGATTGACATGTAAAACACCAAAACAGTCAGCAGTATTTACTTCCTAATTGGGATTATATAAACAATACAGCAATACAAACACAACTCATACACATGCCTCAAACTACTGAAACTTCATGAAATACTGTCTCTGGACTAACCAGTACCTCATGCTAACTCTCTACATTTAAGTCAAAGTTTTATCCTATATGGTTTTTTGTTAAATATTCTAGTAGATAGAAAAATAATAGAGTTATTTCTATTTAGTATAGTTTATAATTTTTAAAAGCTTGACATAGGCTTATAATTGTGACCATCTGATAGTTGTGTAGTGAAAGTCACATATATCTTTTCTTTTTTTTTACTTCTCTCCTTTTCCCTCTTTATTTCTTACATTTGTATCTTTTATCATCTACTCCTATACCTCTGTGTTTTTTTTTATATAAGTTTTTTTGTTTTTGTTCACTTCTCTATGAGAAGATGTTATTATATTGGCAATATCCTATTGTAGAGTAGTGGTCAGATGCGGCTCCTGATGTACTCTAATTTCTTTTGAAGTTAGATAGTCAGTGCAGGCAGATCGCTCATAGGGACTTATAGAAGCATCTGCAGGATGTTGGGCCAGAATTTATGAACTAATTTGTATATATGTAATACAAAAATACATAATAAAGGTAACTAGCAAGACTGCTCAAGTGAAGGAAAAAAAAAATAACTGATTTATTTTTTTTAATACTAAAAACTTTAAAATCAAATTAATATCAAAAGAGCTGCCTACTCATTTTCTTTTTTATTAAAAAAATACTATCAAATATTCAAATTATTTTTATTTAAGATATTATAATACTTCTGAAAGCATAATATACTTTTTAAATTGCATCCAAAATTGTATATACCTTACAACTTAATAATATATACAGTACAAAAAACTTAAAACAATCTAGAAATATCTTGTTATTATATAAATAATTTTATTTAAGCCTTTATCTTAAACTATATTAATAAGCAAATACTATTAGAACTAATAACTAATAATACATTAGCACTATTTAAAGATAATAAATATTAATATAAATATGCTTCTTTCATTTATTATAATATTATTATTACAATATATAAAAAAGTTTAACTTATTTTTAGAATGATCTAATATAATTTTGTTTTTTTAATCCTACTATTATTACAATCTCTAATATTAGTTAAAACTAAACTAATCTTATTTTTTTTATTAAATAAAAAAATACATTATTATATTACTAATAAACAATCTTCTCTTTATCATTTTATCAAAGACTAAAGATTTATTAATTATTTTAGTAAAGAATAAGTTAAAAATAAAGTAGTTTTTATCTTTATCTTTCTAGCTTAGTTTTTTTAGCATATATCTCATATATGTAAATTAACTAATTAATAAAAAAATAAAAGATAGACATCTTTTTTAAAAAAATAAAAAATAAACTCTTAAATAAAAATTTTGCTTTTAATAAAAAAATTCTAATTGCAAAATTAGTTATTTTATTCAAATCTGATATTAAACTTACTTATTGTTTTAATAAAAAACAAGTAATAAAGATAAACAGGATTATATCTTTTTAAATTAAAACTATTTTTATAAATACTATTTAGATATTTTATTTTTTAACAATTAGTAGATCTGAAAAAGCTTCAAGTTTTAGTTATTAAAGATATACTAGATACTTATTTAATTTCAATTTGAATAAAACTTTTTATCTTAAACTTAATATAAGCAATATATAAAAAAAATAAAATAAGTTTAATGCTTAGAGATAAAAGAATATTTTCTCAATATAGATACTAAATTTTAATAATATATATACAAAAACCTGATCTACATAATAAAAACTCTACTTACTAGTTTGAATAAGAATAAAAAAAAGTTCTTTTTACTTCTAATTATAATTGATGAAACTAAAATAAAATGAGCTTTTAGTTAAAAAAACTTTAAACTTCTTAAAAAATACTACTCTGTCACCTATTTCACTTTATATTTTATTTTAGACTACTCAATTTATATAATTCTTTAAAATTTATATATAATAAAAAAAAGTTTTTAATATCTTTTTTATAGAACTCTTTTTAAATTATTATCTTAAACACATTAGATTAACTAAAACAAATAACTATATTTGATACTTAAACAAGCTATAAACTTTTAAATACTTTATTCTCAAATGTTTTAAAAGTATAATAATCTGAAAAGAAACATATAAGTTTCTTAATATTAATAAAAAAATTTTCTACTGATTACACTAAGAATATATTTCAAGCCTTTAATATTGACTGTGCTCAAGCTTTAACAACTATAACCTGATTATATATCAATATAATCTATAAAATTTGATATTAATATACCTCATTAAAATGAAATAATGTTGACATTCTACTAAGCTTACTGAGTTTTTTAATTAAAGCTCATATTTCTAAAAAAATACATGTTTTAAAATATAACACACTGGGCTATAAGTTTAAAGTTACCAAATTAACATATAAATATCTAGACTATTTATAATATCTTAATACTATAATATCTTAATAAAAGAGCATCACATGCGCTCCTAGTTGCTAAAGCAACAAGGATACTAATATATATATATATATTATTTGCTAGTTTTGAATCCAATATTAACTTTGTTTAAGTTTTTTAAAGTAACTTGAAAATTTGTTTTTAAAATCATTGTTTTAATAAAAAAAATTCTTTAAAAAATTTTAGATTTAAAAGATCTTTTAACTATTACCTTATTCAAACTTTAACCTTATCTCTAATTTGGTAATGGTTTGTTTTTATTATTGACTTTATTTAATCCAATTATTAGAATAGTAATGCATCATACCTGCAATGAATAGTAATTATCTAATAAAACATATGCAGTATAAAATTTTAAAATCTTTATGCTAAACTATATTAGTAGATTAGTCATGTCTAAAAAATTTTGATTCGTGTAACCAGAACTTCCGACCTTTACTGCACAAACCCTGCTTAGATAAGTGTATAACGATAAAGAAAAAGTTATTAAAGTTACCATAACAATAAATAGAATTATAATGGTCGAATCTTAAGTACAGACCATTTGAATAGAATTTAAAAGGAATTGCACCGTAGGTGCATACTTTCCCTAACTGGTTCCTGCAACTTGAACTTGAGAGGAAACTAATAAAGTAATTTTTGAATCGATCATTGAACATTTGAACCTTCTGCTAGTTAAAATTATCAATGTAGGCCAGTTAAAATAATCCGGAAAATTGCAATGTGTGACAAATTTTAGATAGCGGATATTGTCTCATGTTGATCGGCGAGTTATTGAATCCTGTTTAAAAAGATTTTCCTACTAAACATATCTCCATTTAATTACTTCGGATTCCCTTTTTTCGTCAGAGAAGCGAAATTTATTTCAGTTGGCGGTTTTTCATTTCCTTTTAAACATGTTTTTACCAGGTAAATCGTAATATTAAAATTAAACAATCATATCATATAATACGATACGAAGCTTTAAATTTGCTCGAAATATTATAAACTGTATAAAAAAATTTTAATAAACCGTGTAACTATCTTCCTTATATGGGATGGTTCTACAATAAAGATCTAACGTCAAGGTGAATCTCGGTAGAACAATATGTCATTCGCTCTAAAAAGAAATTCATAATATCGACTAATCGGAAGTATGCGAAGTAGAATAACAACAAATTTATAATTTCGTAAATATTACGTCTGAAGTTACAGCATGTTTTTAGAAGTACAGTTATGTGCGAAAAGAAATTTGCATACGAAATACACAATGTACACATTAATTTGGCAATGATCATCCTGAAAGATATGCTATTTTGGTTAAATAAACAGAATATTGAACTGTCAAACTATAAATACGGTGATTTGTCCGAAATTACGCCTTCTTGAATTCTTTTTCTTTTTTGTTTGTTTTTACTAATCTACGCTACGACAATCAAATAAATAAATAATAAACATAAAGATTTAAAAGTTCAGCCATGGAATTTTTCCATCCTAACGATGCTTCTATTCTCGTCACAGTCTTAAGTTTATTTGTGGTCGTATTTAGTCTCGTTTCTATGTTCGTTAAAGAAAGGTAAGATTATGTCATATTTGGCATCGATTAATCGGATTTTTATGATTCGAAATGAATATTATAAAAAATATTTTAATTTGGTAGATTATATCTTTCTGAACCTCGTAAGTTCGATATGATTTGTACTTGTTCATTTGATATTCATCCCGTGAAATATTTTTCTGTTTATTGACTTTGTTTATTAGTTGTATGTGTTGCTGTTGGTATCGCACTTGGTCCAATCGGTTTAAATGTCGTTGCTCCCGAAAAATGGGGTGGTAATGTCGATTTGATAACTAGGGAATTTACTCGATTCGTTATTGCAATTCAGGTATATAGTTTATAAGTTTTCGGTTCATTATTATAAATATAAGATTTATTAATTGGGATATTTCTTTTGATAGGTCATGGCCTGTGGGGTCGCATTACCCAAGTTAATTTCCAAGCCTGTCAAATTAAAAGTTTTTGATTTTTTTGTTAACTATTGTTATTACAATGTTATTATGGTTATATGATTATTTGTCAGGGCGTATCTTTGGATTCAACTTAAATCAATGCTGCTTCTCCTTGTTCCAGTAATGAGTTGGATGTGGATGATCAGTGCACTCTCTATTTGGTGGTTATTTCCAATTCTTTCATTTGCAAGTATAAGATTTACTGTGCCATGTTATTATATAGTATATGTAAATAACCTTTTTTTTCTTTTTTTTCTTTTTAGTTGGAATCTTTGATGATTGCATCATGCATCGCACCAACAGATCCGGTAAGTTAAGGCTTGATTGGTTAATGTAATATATAACCACACTCGTTGTAGCGAAGGAAAACAAAAAACTTCACTGTAGCTTATATTGAGAGAATACTATATGCATTTCACTATCAAGTTGAAGTTTATAATTCCGTAGTTCAAAATTCTTCACTATATCGAATCTTCGTTATAACTGTATAACGAAAGTGAGTTGTACTATTTTAAACTTATTAATTTCTGTTCACGTGTAGGTATTGGCGAATACTATGATTAAAGGAAGATTTGCAAAAAAATATATATCAGTTGATCTTCGTGATCTTATTTCCGGAGAAAGGTAAGGTTAGCTAGATATTAAAGGTAAAACTAGATATTTTAAACTCGTACATCAAAAATTTCTAATCTTTCTTATTATAAAGCGCTGCGAACGATGGTAACGCATAAGTTTTATTCTCTACAGTCCAAATAGGGATAGATTCGGTTACAAACTGACACGATTATTAATAGTCAATTTACTGAATATCAAGATGATTTTTGTTTAATTAAAGTTGTTCAGAATTAAATTCTGTTCATCCTATCTTATAAGTGGAAAGAACGATACCTTCTCTGAAACTCAGAATTTTGGAATCCCGAGTTCTAGAGAAGGTATCGTTCTTTCCACTTATAATATAGAATGAACAGAATTTAATTCTGAACAACTTTAATTAAAAGCTCAAAAATAAAAATTCCTTAGTATTAAAAAAATTGGCTATGAATAATCGTGACCGTTTGTAACCAAACTTATCCTAATCCTAGGGATGAGATGGTTTAACTAGGCTTAAACCATGGTTTAAACTATGATAATTATCTATAATTACTATATATTTAAATCAAAATCTTGTAAGCTATTTATATACTAGGTAAAGTTGTTCAGAAGATCAAACTATGTATATTTTAAAAATTTTATACAGATTGAATGTTTATATAAAAAAATAATTTTTTATATAAATATAAAATACAAAAAAATATTAAATTAATAAATTTATTTATTAAATTTCAATTTTTTTTGGTTTTATATGTAGCAATAATAAAGAATTATAAAGATTCTTTATTAATATTTTATCATTTTATTTATAATATATATATACTATATATACATGCATTATGTTACATATTTTATTTGTAACATCTTACTTAGTATCGCCAATAAAAAACAGATAAAATTCATGTAACCTAACCTCTAACTCTAAATTCTATTGGCTAACTACAGGGGTGTTACATGAATAGTTGTTTACGAATATACTTTTTCAATTAAAATTACTAATTTAAAAAATTTTATTATTGATCAAATTAAAAAGATATTTAATTCTAATATTAAGATTCATAGCAAAATTTTTTTAAATTAGTAATTCTAAAATTCTAAATATACAAAAGTAGTTGGCTTAAGTCAACTAAGATGGCTCGACTCAAAAACCATGATCAAGCCGGCTTACTTATAAACTAATACCATCTCTACCTAGTTCAAAAAAGTAAACCCAAAAAATAAATAAACAAATACTTTTAATAATTTTAGGTTTGGGATTTCCATTTTTATATATCGCGATTTACCTTTCAAAAATGTCTCCCGGAGAAGCATTCGGCAGATGGTTCCTGGTCATCATCTGTTATCAGGTTATCTTAAGCATTTTTATTGGATTTGTGATTGGTATAATATATATATTTTTTCTCTCTCTTGAACTTTCCTTCTGTTGAATCATATTTTTTTAAAACTTCAATTAAATAAGGGTATATTGCGCGTAAATCGTTGCGTTGGGCTATGGATAAGTTAGGCTTATTTTTATTCAACCTTGATCAATTAAATATAATTAAATATTATTCCCTCTTTCGCTGCTCACACGTTATTTTCAATTTTTTAGAAAGCTGATTGATAAGGAGATGTTTTTAACCTTTGCAGTTGTATTGGCAGTATGTTAACTTCCTAAGTATTTTTGATTATCAATTAATTTTAATTAACTTCATTCTGGCTAAATATCTTAGTTGTTCATAATGGGATCTGTTTCAATCCTTGGAAGCGATGAATTGTTGGCCTGTTTTGTCGCAGGAAATTCTTTTACATGGGAGTATGTATTTATCAAATGCTCCCTATATATATATATATATATATTTTTAACCATATATATATCCTTTATACTCTATTATTGCATTATTTATTCACTTAGCGATTGGTTCCGAGAAGAGACACAAGACTCTCATTTTCAAGAAATTATTGATGTGCTTTTGAATTTATCAATTTTTATTTATATTGGCGCGATTATGCCATGGTCATCATTTAATAATAGTGAATTAGGATTATCATACTGGCGATTGTTTGTCGTTTCAATTCTTATTCTTTTGTTTAGACGTCTTCCCATTGTGTTAATTTTAATGAATAATATTCCTCCTTTGAAAAATTTCCGAGAAGGTTTGTTTATTGTTATTTTGAAAAAATTGTAAAGAATTTTGTTAAATATAAATATTAAAAATTAGTTTTTTTTCAGGTCTGTATGCTGGTTGGTTTGGACCAATTGGAATCGGAGCCATATTTTACGCTGCGCTTGCCAAAGAGAATGGCACTGAAAATGTCCAGAAACTTGTCACCCCGGGTAATTAAAAAAATTTTTTTTCTATTTGCAGTAGTGTATGTGATACCTTGATATTAAAAAAAAAAAGTTTTTTTGTTTTTTTCTACAGTTGTTTTTTTCATGGTTCTTTCTTCAGTCTTTTGTCATGGGATTTCCATCCCGATAATTAAAATTGGGAGACAAGTAAACACGTTGTCGAGGACAACCACTAGTCAATCCTCATATCAAATCAATTATTTGACAACAACTGTGGTTGTACAAGACGAAAAGAAGAAGAAAGATCAAGATGTTACGGCTGACAATGTACAAGACGAAAAGAATAAGAAAGATCGAGAACAAGTTGTTAGAATGGCAGACCATGTAACTGTTAAAAGTGAAAATAACAAAAATGAAACTATTATGATTAAAGAAATGACAGACAATATCAACTTAGATGAAATTATTATGGCTAATGAAACAACTGATGGCAAAGTTGATAACACTGATGATACTAAAAATACGGGCGAAAATAATTCAATTAAAGCAGGTTTAGAACCTGAAGAGGTTTATGAAGAACGTGAGGATGTCGTTATCGAAGATGGAAATCGTCATGTTTATGTTACTCCAAACCCACCATGAATTTTTGAATATATATTTCTCAGTGAAAATGTTATCTTTTTAAGATTTATTTTATTAATAAAAGACATCAGAGTCCTTATATAAATTGAACCGAATAAATCATAGACATGTGAATATGTAGATTGTCTTTTAATGATAAGTTTAAAAACCAGGTCCAGTACAAATACTGCGTACAATTAAACAATTAGCATCATATGTTTTTTACTTGGATGGATGAATTTTACCTAGCGTGCACTAAGGTATTTGATATTTTGTGAATAATAATGTTATGGTTTTCTCAGCATATAAATTATGCAACAATTTCTTTTGTATCATTTTTAAGATAAATATATGGCATATATATTGCTATAATGTTCTACGATATCCGAATAAATATTTTTCTTAAATTTTCTTAAAAATAATTAATTTATGATATAAAATAATAAAAGATAAACTTTAATAATATAAGATAAAAGATAAAAATTTGAAATGTAATTCCATGTAATAAAATGAAAAAAAAGATCATGATCTTTTTTTTAAAAACCAACTAATTTTTGACAAATTTGAATTGAAAAAAAAGATTTTAAACAAAATTTAAAAAAAAAATTCAGTAGCTTTTATAAAAAGTATAATCATTTTTAAAAAAACAAACTAATTTCTGACTAATTTGAATTTAAAAAAAAATTGATTATAAACAAAACTTAAAAAAATTTCAGTTGCTTTTATTACAAAAAGCAAAATCATTGTTTTAATTGACCGGCAGGAGAAGAAAAAGAGTTCTTTAAATGCAAAGAGGACGCTTCTCACTACAAATTATCTAAAGCTTTACGCAATAAATGTTAACGAAATTATTTCAGTATGAGTCAAAATTGTTTACCTGTAAAAACGGTTTGACACGTCTGAAATAATTTCGGGTACATAGATGTGCCAAGATTTAGATAATAAAATTAAGACAAATCATAATTATGCGTTCTTCTTGATATTCTGCCGAGCCGGAGTAGTTAGATAAGAATATTGAACATAATAACATTCTGCTGCAGCAAGAATGTTATTAGGTTCAATCATATTTTAAAATTTAAAGAGAAAGAAGCGGAGGCTTCATTGCTAAAATTAATAAAATTTTGGTTCTCTTGACAGAGATTGAGTAACTCGAGTACGTAATATCGAAAACAATACACAAAAAAAAAAAAAAAAGAAGCTGTCTGTCAGACAAAAATAAAAAAAAAATAGTAATAATAATAAGCGTCATTAATTAAAAAGGCTAATTGATTTATAATATACCATATAGAATGTATTACCTTCATAGTTGAAAGACATTTTCTGGCGTTACCAAGAATTCGGGTGATAAGAAGATGTCATTATTTGACCGCATCTGTAAATGATTAACTAATATATTTATCTATTCGTTTAGATAATATCAATGAAATATTATACTGTATATATTATTTACATATTTTGGCAGTTGCGGCGACGGTGGCGACAGCAATTGCGCAGGAGATGGCGATTGTATTGGTGGTGGCGTTAGTGATGGTGATGGGTACGACGATGAGTACAACGGTGATTCATTTTCATAAAATTTACGATCCGAATTGGATGGCGAGATATTATCTCCCCCATCCTGCTGTATATTAAGTGTTTTTCGTTTTTTTGGATCAGGCCCTCTTCTTGGGACCTTTTCGTCGAAGCGACATTCAATGTTACGCTTCTGACATCGAATGCATGGGGTTGGCCCGAGGTGGCCAGAACATCTTGCTTTTTTAACCCTACATTCCTCGCATGCAAGCGAAGATCGTTGTCTTTTTCTTGGTTCTTTACTCATACAAGGTTTTTTTTTTTTTTTTTTAAAAAAAAAAAAAAACAATATCTAATTCGAAAATATATATCTAAATTTTTATGATGTTTTATTTGAAAAAAAAAAAAAAATATTGTTCGTTTTTTGCTACAGATTTGTTATATATATATATATATATATATAAAGAAGTGCAGATGGGGGAGAATATATCCTTATTTTTTTCTTGAAATTTGTGGAGTTGGTCAGTGTTAATACTAACAATAAGCTGTCTAAAAGATGTGTATTTATAACAAATTACAGAATGGGGTCACTTAAAGACATAAAGGGATAATCGTCAAAAATAAAGCATTTATGTTAAATAATATAAAGTTTGTTAACGGATAAAAAATTTGACCAACTCCGGAATTAGATTGAACTTAAAAAAGATGGCTGGCAAAAAAACAGTCATGTGTGATAATAAAATAGAAACTCTAACTGCGAATGACATAATCGTTACGACAAATAGAGGCTAAAATTAAATGTATTTCGATTATTTCTGGTATATTCTATGCAGATTATCCTGATATCTCGGAGTTTCGCACAATAAATAGTTTGTGCAATCGCCGGAAAAACTAACAAAAGATCTGTGCACGTACGTACGTACATCCTAGAGCCCTGAAAGTGTAGCCTGTACTTGGTACAATATTCTAACAGTACTGTGCAGAACTCTGATATGTCTGAGTATTATGACGACAAGCATTATTGTGTTCAACCCTATTTTTTTACTCTGAAATAATTGGTGCTTATTTTACATAATTGGATTTAAATGCTTATCTATGAGAATCCAAAACCAGTTAGAAGATTTTCCTGATTTGTTTCAGTCAAAGAGGTAACTTATCTGTTTAGTACCGGATTAAGACAAGAAAATAAAATAAACTTCTTTTAAGGTAACCCCCATAGTAGTACTGTTACATCCCAACAATAATGCTAATTATAATTAATCTCTTGTCATAAATTCTATTAAAATTTGTTTAAGACGCTTTTATTAAATGCAGAGTTTAATAAGCTAAAGTAATGTTATATTTCTATGATAAAAACAAGCCTCCAATAACCGAAAAATGCTTGGCAATCCGATTTTGACAATTTAAACTTTGACAGTGTTACTACTTTATATGCAAAATCTAAATGCAAGTCCTTGTGACCAAATTTTAAGTTTGATTACACAGTTGACATGCATCTTTTCAGTGCCTACGCACGTACATGTGTATGTATTTTTGGTCTTCATTAATACTAAATAATTCAATTTTGGTTCATGTTTGCTAAACATGATAAGGTGATGGATGATAAATTGATAATCAATTTCTCAACACTAATGCTAATCTAGTTTATCTTTAATGTCAGCCGGTTAAACTTTTCAAATTAATCTAAAAAAAGAATAATTAGAATCGGAATTCGAATTAATTTTGATCGAACTAAATCAAGATTTATATTACTAAATTTGGGTGACATTGTGTCTATAAAAGGAAACAACCAATCAGAGTGTTCAATTTTCGATTGTCTAACCCAACACGTGCGAAAATTAATGTTTAAATATATCCCCAACCTTAAATTTTATTTTCACACACTTATTTTTATACTAAATTTTCCTTTTAGGGGTTAGAGAGTGGAATCTAGAGATGTGTCTTGCGAGAGTTAAAACTAGCATACATTCCACAAATCATATGACTTCACGAAAAGTACATTCAACAAATTATAGATTTTAATGATAACTCTTTTTTATATTTGATAAATCACTGATCGCTAATTAAAATTTACTTCACATGAGATATGATCATTGCTGATTGTGGCCAATAAAATCACAAGATCATGTGTAACTTAAAAAAATCGTAAATTGTAATATAATAACCACAGTTTGTCTTCTAAATAAAAGTTTTCAGCATAAAAATTTTAGTAAATGAATATATTTAAATATCGAAAATTAAGTAAATTAAAGCCTGCACTAATTTCGATTCGGTGATTGACATGATCTGTCACAGATTTCAGACATGCTATTGCCTATGAAACATATGCGGATTGAAACAATACGATAGTAAATCGTGCACCAAACCCTAACGTTATTGAGACTAACCCATTCGTTTAATGACGGTTAAAATTGAACGATAATTCAATTTTACCTTGTTTGAATAAGTGTAAGGCAGTGTCAAAAGGAATGCGATTGTGGTAATGAGGTAGGATTCGGCAGTGGAAATGGCGTACATCTTTTGTCCTCTCTCAATGAAAATACTAAAGTCACGAAGGCTGTGCGTGTCAAACTAATCAAAATGGGAAAACGGCTTAGAATTCATAAGCTTTAGTACATGCAATAGCAAATTGTTCAAAAATTATTCGGTTTTCTCTTCCCTGTATTTTCTTAAAAATAGAGCCTTGAAGTAGTATGTAATTCACGCCCTACATAATCAATAAAGTTTTTTCAATATCTTACCCCAAGTAAAAGATCAATCACAAATCAAACGCTCTTTGAATTTCCTCCACTTATCTTGTAATGCACTCGACAGTTGTGCCAACTCGTATCCGCCTCACCTTAACTGCCAAGTTTTGTTATGCGACATCCCAAAATCGAAATAACAATTCATTGCCTTATGCCTGTTGTTGGTATGTGTGTGTGAACTGACCCCTAATTGCTTCTGACACTATGCAATTCGTGCGTGATATCATCATCTTTTGCGAGGTATATCTCTAGTGAAATTATTGAATAATTATTATATTATCGATCAAAAACTTTATGCATCGAATTAAGCTTTAATTCATTGAGTTTTTAATTCGATTAATCATCAAGCATCGGTCAAAGTTAATTTTAACTATTGTCATGTACTTTATAGTAGTAAATTTTTTTATTTAATACTAATTTTCATAAATATTGATTTAATAATCTTTAATATTGAATAAAGATATTGCATTCCTTGTCAATATTCTCTTTTAAAAGCAATGAGAACGAACCTAACTGTATTAGTATTTCAGCTTGTGAAGGACTAAAATCCAATATTAGTGAAAGCTCTTAAGCATTTTACTCGATAGGTCGAAAGTATAATTTTGCTTAAACTTAAGTGGCAACAAACGAACCATTTGTCACAACTAAGAAAAGATCTTCTTTAGCATTGTCACAGGTCACTAGGACAGGGATTGACTCTAGGAAAAAAAAGAAAATGCGACGAATTGTCGTTAAGAAAAGGGTAACATTCCCCGATGTATTTAGAGGCGGAAAACGATTTGGCACAACCTGTTTTATAAAAAATTACAGAGAAATTAGAAAGGAATTTTAAACATATTCTAATTCAACTTTGACACACATTCTTCTCATTTATATAAGTCATTTTATTATTTCCAATTAACATTTCTTTCTTTTTACAGACCTACCTTCATTTTATTAGTATTTTATTTCATCGAGTTTTACCTTTCCAATAGTGACAATCAAAGTGATGCATATACACAGTTACAGATTTTACCTGACAAGGTAATATTATCTTGTCAGGCATCAAATCAAAATCGAACAGATGGTTTTTTATGGGATTAGTGCTGTTACCTAATGGAGGAACCTAGATTCAACAGGTTGGTACAAAGGGGTCATTATTCAATTTTTTTTAATCATAAGCATCATCACATGACAGTCTTTTATATGTTAGTTACAAAGGTTCTAGAGACAAGTTTGTCTATAACAGCATCTAGACAAAATAATGATGAAAAAAATTTAATAAAACAACTAAGCTAAATCTGTTTGTTAAAAATATTCAGGTATTTTAGAATTAGTTGGCCATTGAACAATGAATTAGTAATTGTAAAAGGTATAATTAGATATATTTTTAAAAAATATTTTTTTTTAACTTATGTAATTTCTACATATTTAATTATACATAAAACTTATTAAAATCATCATTTTTTATGAAAATTCATTTGTAATAAATTTTATAAATTTTTTGATTGTAATTTAGTTGATGTTTTTTTTATAAAGTTGTTCTAATTAGCTAAAATTTAGATTATATATTTTATATAATAAATTTATAACAAGTCATTTTTTCATTAATTGTATTAACTACTTAATTAATGTTACGGCTGATGCTGATGTTGAAGTTCACGCGATGATCGGCCAATAGTAAGTCGTGATTAGAAAATTCAAAACAAATGTTAATTTTGAAACAACTTTTCATGCATTAGAAGAAAAGATTTCCTTTGTGATTTTATTATATAGCTCACTAAACTCTAACCTTAATATAACTTCTAACACTAATTTAAATGCTAACTCTAACATAAATGAACTCTGTATATGACAACAAAATTTTCTTAATATACGTTACGTGAACATCAGCATCAGTCAAATTCGTGATATTAAGATTTTTATATAAAACACAAATCTATTTTTAAAATATTATAAAAAAAGTAAAAGCTTAAATTAATTTATCTATAATCTAAACTGACTAAAGTAGTTAAGGCTTACTTAGATTTAAGTATTATAAAAAATTAGTTTAGTATTTATAGGTTGTATTATTACTTCTGATATATCATATTTTATAAAAATAAATTTTTTTTTTTTTAAAGAATATACTTTATGGTGATTATTTTATTAATGTATTGAAATTAATTTATACTATTTTTACAGAGATGAGAGTACAATTAGTCACACATGCAATTTTTGGTTGTCTATTTAAATAGTTTGTTTTAGAGTTCTACACTAGATGTTGTACTTATAATCTACTAGGAAGTTATTCATTTAAACCTTCTGATCATTCACTCTGTTAATTATAACTATTATTAAACTCCTATATATACTTAACTAGTATATAATCTAAGCAGCATTATATCTTTCTTTTTTGAACTAGTTCCTAGGTTATTATATATTTTAGAGCATAACATCTGTTAGTAAAACTCAGAAAATTTTTTTTGTTAACTACCTACTCACTCTATAGATTATTAATAAAAACTTGTTTTTGTAAAGTTTATCTGTATTTTAGTATCTATTTCATAGTATATCTTTAGTATTTTTAGTATATTTCTGT